CTGAACACGTTCCCTTGTTACCCTACCGAGAGGGACCAGGTCTTCGGGAGCAAGGTAAGCACAGGCGTAGCACAGAGTAGCAGGCCGGAAGAGCTATTGTAGATAGTAAAAATGGAGAAATATTTTTAAAGAAGGAAGAAATTTACTGTAATTCAAATTTACCTCAAATACACAACTTTTCTTACATGCTCTGTGTTCATATCTGAATACTTTGAGGTGATGATCACTAGATAGTATCATTATTAACGGCCATCAAGTTGTCTATAACTCATGTCAACCCCACGTGCAACAGAATGAAATGCTGTCCAGCCCTACACCATCTCCATGACTGGCGATAGATTTGAGTCCACTGTTGGCGCCATTGTGTCAGTCATCTCACAGAGGATTCTCTTTGGCCCTCTGCTTTACCAAACATGATGCCCTTCCCCGGTGACTGGCCTTTCCCGGTGACACCCAGCACCATGTCACACAATGTTCTATTGTGATCCACAGGGTCACTGACTAATCTTTAGAGGTAGATCACAAGGCCTTCCTTTTTCATCTTACACCGGACTCTCCACTGAAACCTACCTATCTTGGGGGATCCTGCTGGTATTTGAAACACTGGTGACATAGATAGATAGCTATAACTAAATAAAAATTTTAGTCAACCATTTGTATGTTACCGAATAGCCAGACTCTTTTATTCAGTCAATCTTACTTTGCCTCAACTATATGCATTCTTGAAAAGAAAATCCAGCACAATCAATCTACTGAATATTTGTTTTAACTAAAATCCCCATTCCCTATGGTGGGCTTAGGGGCAGATAACCCAATAAGCAAGGTAAGCACAGGCTTAACTTGTGCTTACTTACTAATATGCAATGAACAATCTCACATTTTTTTCACAATATCAAAAATTCTGCTGCCAGGTATGTCTAGCTGGCATCTGTCTCTCTCCCAACCCCACAGCACCTTCCTACAGAGTCAAAACCTCTTCAAATTTACAATCCCTGACACAGATGGGTTACCCTACAGATTAATTGGTAAGCACAAGTAAGCCTTTGCTTACCTTGCTTATTGGATAATCCACCCCTGGGTATGCTAAAGTCGGCTCTTACCAGTTTGTGAGCACTGGTTGTTAAATATTTCGGCATTCTTCAAGCTGGCTACTAAACTACTGATAGCTTGAAGTAAGGCATGGTGAGAGTCTTATACCATGTTGTTGTTGTTGTTAGGTGCTGTCAAGTCGTTTCTGACTCATAGCAACCCCATGCACAGCAGAACGAAACACTGCCTGATCTCGCGCCAGCTCCATGATCCCTGCTATACTTGAGCCCATCATCGCAACCACCGTATCAATCCATCTCATTGAAGGCCTCCCCCTCTTTCGTCGACCCTCCACCCTACCAAGCATGACATCCTTCTCCAGGGAATGATCCCTTCTTACAACATGACCAAAATAGGTGAGACGAAGTCTGGCCATTCTTGCTTCCAAGGAGCATTCTTTCTGGCTGCACTTC